CCACCAGTCAGAGACCAGGGATCCTTACAGCAGACTCACTTGTAATATATATATATATACTTGGTGCCAGCCTCAAACAAATTAGAAATATTAATGTAGAAGGCATGGTGGAGAGAAGGAAAGGGAAAGAAAGAACGTGGAAAAGACAGTGCCTCAAGCAGTTACTTGGGACACTGCGGGGCTGGGGGGACACTGCGGGCTGGGGGCACTGCGGGCTGGGGGGACTGCGGGCTTGTGGGCTCAGCAGTGGGCACTGCTGAAATGACCACTCTGCTCACCATCCCAGGCCCCGACCCTCCTCTGCACTCGCCTTCTGAGAGACAAGCTCGGAGCTCCCACAATGACCTCCAGCCTACGGTCAGGGTGATCCAGTTACCTCCCTAAATAGCTCCCAAGTGCACAGCTGCAAAGGAAGCGCAGGTCCAGCAGCACTAATTACAGTCACAGAGACAAAGCCGTGGGCGGGGGGTGCTTGGTGCACGGACACAGTGACACTCGCCGGGCGGTGCAGGCCCTTCACTAAGGACAGTGCCGCCCCGGCTTCCCGAGGGTGGACGGTCTTCACCAGGTGAGGACGCTGACTGATTAACCACCCTGCTCCCTCCAAAGGCTCCCTTTCCAGGCTCATAGCTGCTCCAGGAAATGACACTGAGGTGGCCGCTCACGGATTAGGTGGTGGCATTTCTCCGTCACCAGTGGAGTGGGCTTCCTGTGATGTCTTCAGAAAAGGAATTTTCTAAGACGCACGGAGAACGAATGCTGCTTGTTTGCGTGGAATGATGTGTTTCCACAGTCCCACGTCCCTTAACCCCGTCCTGGGGGATGTGCACGGGGCTCTGGCTGAGCTGAGAGCAGGGCCAGTGTGCAGAGCGTCCATTCCCTGGTGTGGCGTCCACATGGCCAGGAGCCACGTTGGCGGGTGCAGGGGAGCACGCCCCCCAACAGGAGTCCCAAGAGAGCAAGAGGGCCCAGAACACAAGAGGGGGGGTGTGTGGAAGCCCCTTTGTTCAGGCGTGAAGCATCTCAGGGTTCCAGGCCTCTTCTGGCCACTGAGTCGCTCCCAGGTGTGACTGACAGGTGAGCATCTTCCCACGTCACCTGCCGTCACTGGGCTGTGTGTGTGGTCCAGGCCCCTCCCCCAGGATCGGCGGGACTGACATGGAGAGGGTGAGCTTCGGTTCCTGGCAAAGCCGTGTAGGTGGCCCATATTCTAGGCTCCCCTTCGCTCCTTTCCTGCTCAACAAGAACCAGGTTGTGACGGTATCAAAATGGTGCATGTTCTAAGCCCGAGGAGGTGAGAGTTCACGAGTGCTTGCAGGTCGCCGTTTCATTCACACTCCGCCACCCGGGCCGCTGAGCAGACCGGCGCTCCTCAGACACCGGCTCTGACCCGGGCGCCGACCCTGAGTCTCTGCGTCCTCTGAAGCCGCCCGGGATGGGTGACAGCTGGAGGGCAAGGTCCCCATTCTCTTGGACACAGAATCCTTCCAGCTTCTGCTCAAGTGGGCGCGGGGCTGAAGGTGTGGCCACAGGAGAGAGGGACGCCTCTCTGTTGCTGTTGGGCCTCAGCCCGTGGAATAGAGGTGGGTCTCTAGACGCCTCGAGGATGAGGCGGCCACGTCAGTCTCACACCACAGAACGTGGTGCTTTGGCTGGACCCGCGTGGAACGGATTCTGAGCCTTGGGCCCTGCCTGCCATGCGAGCCTGCCCTGCGCTCCAGCAGCGAGGTGGACGGTACTGTCACGGCTGGTGTGGTGGCATCAGC